TCCATATGATCCTGCAATTGTACTCCTGTTTGCTGAAGTGAGCTGAAAACTGATATTTACACAAATGTCTGCACACACATTTCTAGCTGCTTTATCCATAACTGCCATTTGATGGCAACCAAGATGTTCTTCAATACGTGAATGAATAAATGAACTGTGGTTCACTCAGACAGCAGAATATTATTCAGTGATAAGAAGAAATGGGCTGGGCATGGTGGCTCACACTTGTAATCTCAGCAATTTGGGAGACTGGAACAGGTGGATTGCTTGCGCCTAGGGTCCAAGACCTGCCTGGGCAACATGATGAAACCCCATCTCTACTAAAAATACATAAATTAGCTGGGTATGGTGGTGCACCTGTAATCCCAGCTACTGGAGAAGATGAGGCCAGAGGATCACTTGAATCCAAGAGGTGAAGGTTGTCGTGAGGTGAGATTGTGCCACTGTATTTCAGTCCTGGGCAACAGATCGAGACTCTATCTCAGAAAAAGAAAAAAAGGAAAGAAACAAACAAAAAAGAAATGGGCTATCAAGCTGTGAAAAGATAAAGATGTATGTGCTATGCTTTGAATATGGATTGGCCCTTCCAAAATTCATGTTTAGTCTTGATTCTCAATGTGGCTGTGCTGGGAGGTGGTTTAAGAGGTGATTAGATCACCAAAATGGATTAATCTCTTTCAGGGTTAGTTCTCATGGGAATGGATTAGTTACCATGAGAGTGGGCTGTCATAATCAAGGTTGCCTCTCCTGGTCAGTCCCTTTTTTGCATGCACCCACTTCTCATTCTGCTTATCTACCATGTTATATGATGCAGTCAGTGGGCCTTCCCCAGGCACTAGCACCATCTCTTTGGACTTCCCAGCCTCAGAACCATGATCTAAAATAAATCTCTTACTTTATGAATACACAATCTCAGGTATTCTGTTATAGTAATAGAAAATAGACTAAAATATGGAGGAACTATAAATGCATATTGCCAAGGAAAATAAATCAATTTGAAACGGCTACATACGTATGATTCCAACTATATGATATTTTGCAAAAGGTATAATTACGGAGACAATGAAAAAGATCAGTGATTGCCAGGGTTTAAAGGGGAGGGAGAGATTAATAGACAGAACACAGGATTTTTAGGACACTGAAACTAGTCTATTTGATCCTATAATGGTGGATACATGTCATTGTACATTTCTGAAAACCCACAGATTATGCAACCTCAAGAGTAAACCCTAAGTAAACTATGGACTTTGGATGCTAACAATGTGTCAGTGTAGGTTCATCAATTGTTACAGTGGTATTTTTGTAGAATTATGGTAGTGGAGGAGACTGAATGTGTAAGGCAGGCGGCAAATGGGAACTCCCTGTACTGTTTGCTCAGTTTTCCTGTGAATCTAATACTGGTCTAAAAAATAAAGTCTATATATAAAAAAAAAACCAAAAATGGTTGGCTTTAACATAGATTAGACTATGCTGAAGAAAGAACTGGTGAATGGGAATTAAGATCTGATGAATATATCCAGAATAGATAAAGAAATAGAAAATACACACAATTTAGAGATAAGGAAGCTAGTGTTAGAAGATTTAACACATTTCATTAGAGTTTCAGAAGAAGCGAAAAAGGAGAAGCAATGTTTGAAAACAAAATAAATTACAATTTTCCGGAATAGTGAAAGGCAGATATTTGTAGATTCAGAAAACTCAATGAATTATCAGGCAACTTAAGTAAAAGAAATTCAGAGTTAGACTCACTATATGCACCAAAGACAAAGAAAAGGTCTTAAAATCATGCAGAGGGAAACAAAGCGATGACCTAATAGAAATAATAATTTGATAGCTGACTTCTCAACAGCAACAGTGAAAGGGAGAAGACAGTGGGGACAATCCCCTAAAAAAATGAAGAGTTTTTACTGTCAATTTAAATTTTACGTCCATTGAAATCATCTTTGAAGAATGAGGGTGAAATAAAGATATTCTAGGAAAAAGATACTCAGCTATACCTCAAATACTAGACAATAATATGTGTGTGTGTGTGTGTGTGTGTGTGTGTGTGTGTGTGTGTGTGTTTGAAATCAAAGTGATCCAAAGTCCATGCGTTTCCCAGGTTAAAGCTGTTTAACTTGAGACTTTACTGAGTATGGATATTATCATTACAGGTAGCTATTAAAAGAATACATACAGTATATAAGTTTTCAACAAGAAGCTTCAAAAAGAGAATAAGAGAAAAATTCTAATCACATGAAGTAGACAAGAAAGGAAGAAAAAAAAAAAAAACAGAAAAATCCGGGGTAATAGTAAGTACAAAATAAGATGTTAAAAACAAAATATATAGTCACATTCAGAGTAAAAATAACAGGCTGGGCATTTTAGCTCATGTCTGTAATTCCAGCGCTTTGGGAGGTTAAGACAAAAGAATTGCTTGAGGCCAGCGGTTAGAGACTAGCCTAGGCGACATAGTGAGACCACCATATCTACTTAAAAAAAAATTAGCCGGGCATGGTGGTATGAGCCTGTAGTCCTAGTTACTTGGAAGGCTGAGGCAAGAGGATGGCTTGAGCCCAGAAGGTTGAGGCTGCAGTGAGCCATGATCGCACCACTGTCCTCCAGCCTGGGTGACAGAATGAGACCCTGTCTCTAAAAATTAAAAAAAAAAAAAAAAAAAAGAAAATTTAAAAAATTTAAAAAGAATAAACTTGCAGTTAAAAGATAATAATTACTAACTAGATATAAAGACAATAAAATCTGCTTATATGTCATTTACAAGTGGTAAATGTAGAACATAAAAGCATAGAGAGTTTGAAAGTGAATGAACAGATTTGTCAGGGAAATACCTGAAAAAAGACAGTACGGCTGCGTGAGTACAAGATAAAAAGCAGAAAACATTGCATGGTGATAGATAGTTCAGTTCACCAGGAAGTCACATACAGAATTTTTGTTCACACTTAATAATAAACAATGTTGGAATATATAAAGCACAATTTGCCAGAACAATGAAAAGATATTGACAAATCTGCCCTCGGAAGATTTTAAAACGTCCTTCTTAGTAATTGATGGATGCAACAGACCAGATAACAGGCTGCAGGCAGAAGATTTGTGCAACATGCTTAACAAGCTTGTTCTAAGGAACATGTACAGTACGTTGTACCCAAGCACACATAAACCATCTGTAAAAATGGATCACACATCAAGCCATAAGTCTCAAGTACACTTCAAAGACTCAATTATCATGGACTCGGGTCATTTCAGTATCATACCAGCCAAGATTCCTATGATCAAACAAAATACGAGGCTTAAATGTTCATTCTCCTCCTTGAGGACCTACTGTAAAATGTTAGTTCATAGTCTACCATGTGGCAGGTTAAATTATGTTTTCTGTAAACTACCAAATGCCGTGGTTTGTGTTGCAGTTGGTCTATTACATGGGTCTTTGCCCATTAGCAGCATTATACAAGAAATTACGGAGTCTTTATAAGCTGTGATACAGGATTACTGTCCTATATTATTGATTATATATTATTATTCATAACATATATTATCCACATACTCCTTCTCTAGTTCCCAATTTCACTGCAGTTTTTCCACTCCCTGCACCACATGCAAATATCTCACTAAACTTTTCATAAAGAAACAAATTTTGCTGCATTTTCAGGATCTAAATAATCCTACTCAGGTATGAGTAATACTTGTAAAGACCTTTCAGCCAGACATCAAAGATTGCGTTACACTTGAGTGAAAATCACAGAATAGGATCCTCACGAAAACTATTTTCCTGGACTTGGCTGGCTCTATCTGTCAGCAGTTTCTTAACATAAGTGACTCCATTTTGATTCTGACAATTTTCACACCTCTCTTTGCTGACATCTTTCCTATATTGTCCCAGAGATCTGCATAATGACCATGATTTAGTTAGGTATCAGAAAAGCGGTGTTTTTACCGCATCTGATATCAAAAGGAACATAATAAAATGAGAACTGGAGAGAGTTACCGTTGATGAGATTAAATTGAATGTAAAGCAAATTTACTTTCTATCCTATTTCAAGCATATGCCCCAGAAAAAATTAAGAGCACCCTGTCAGTTTTAATTACTAAATATTTTGCTTTTAAAACTTTTTTTTTTTTTTTTTCTTTTTAAAGGTTCATTTAGACTTCAGGGGCGTCCAATCTTGTAGCTTCCCTGGGGCACACTGGAAGAAGAATTGTCTTAAGTTACATATAAAATGCACTAACACTAGTGATGATAGGTGATGAACAACAACACACACAAAAAAAATTGAGAAAAATCTCATAATGTTTTTGAGACCGCGTCTCGCTCCGTCTCCCAGCAGAGTGCAGTAGCATGATCTCAGCTCACTGCAGTGTCCGCCTCCTGGATTCAAGGGACTCTCCCATCTCAGCCTCTGGAGTTGCTGGGATTACATGCGTGTGCCACTACACCTGGTTAATTTTTTGTATTTTCAGTATAGACAAGGTTTTGCCATGTTGGCCAAGCTGACCTCAAACTCCTGACTTCAATTCATCCATCTGAGTCCGCCTCCCAAAAATGCTAGGATTACAGGTGTGAGCCACCGCGCCCTGCCAAGAGCTCCTAAAATTTTAATTTGTGTTGGGTAGCATTCGAAGGGGTCCTGGGCCACCTGCGGCCCGTGAGTTGAGACAACATGGTTTAGAGCTTACTTTTCTCCAAATATTAAAACATAAAACATAAAAAATTATCTTCCTTTATTTTAAAAAATGCATTATTATTTTCCACTCACTTTAAGAAGATTTTGAGGAATTTTACAGTTTAAAAAAAACACAAAAATACAAAAACAAAAATAGAGCCATATAAATGAAACTAAGAAAATGTAAAAGGCCTATTAGAAGCCAATTTGAAAGAGAAGAGATATAGGTACCAAGAACCTAGCATAAACTGGGCGTTAAACTTATCTCTGAGGGAAAACATTTCAGGTTGAAGAATATACATATGATTGCCTTTTCCTGCCCCTACATTTTTATTTACAGGATACTTACAGCATTGTAATAATAAGAGAATTCAAAAACTATCTAAATAACTGTATTTTTCAATTACTGTTATTCAAGCATTATAAAAGCAAAACCAAAACAGCCTGTGTCCAGGACTCCAATCAATCAAGCAACCGAACTTCAGGGAAAGGAAACAGGCTCTGCTTGTCACGTTTCCTCGTTCTCCTCTCTCGATTTTCCTGCAAATTCTGAAGGTTATAGAGGTAGAGATGAAAAATCTATCTGAGATCACCAAGACTTAAGAAGGCATGGAATGTTGAAAGCTATTTTTAATTATAGTGTTGATTTCAAGATAGATGGACCCAATAATCTTTCTAGAAATACCATCTTCAGGAAAAACATTTAACTTTTATTCATTTGATGCTTCTTAACATAATAAAATAAATGAACCTAAAACAGCACTTTAGGTAACCTGGAAGGGAAGATACATTCCATTTAGGTGAAAATACATAGGAGCAATATGTACATTTGGGCAGATATTCTGAACTCTATTGGGTTAATGTTTATGGCTGCACTTGAGCACAACAGTGAGAAGTTTCCCATCACATTTTATCTGAAATGAACAAAATGTCAGGGTAATCTACCAGCAAAACCTGCGCTCCGGGTCAGCGATGCTTCTCGCTCTGGCACACTCACCATGCCCCTCCCTAGGACACGTTACCTCTCTTCTTTTGTAAAGCTTTCATGAGGTCTGACATGAAATCTTGCTCCCCGCCTCCTGCCCCGCCCGGGGTCCCTGGGTTCTCGTGCCTTTTGGGGGGCATAGGAGGCCTCTTGGCCACCGCGGGAGACGGCCTGGCGGAGTCGGGGGCGGGCGCGGGCGCGGGCGCGGGCGGCGGCGGCGGCGGCGGCGGCAGCTCCGAGCCCGCGGTCCCTGCACACGACGGCGGGGGCGGGGGCACGAAGTCCGGGGGCGGCTCCATGAACTCCGCGGGGGGCGGCGGGAGCTCAGGGTCTTCCAGGGGCGGCGGCGGTGGCGGCGGCGGCAGGAAGTCGTCGGGTGGGGCGGGGAAGCCCCCGCCGCCTGTGCCCTTGGCCTTGGGGGGCGTGGCGGGGCTGCCGCTGGTGTCCGAGGACCTCCGCACCGGAGGGGGCGGGGGCAGGCTGGACTTGGGGGCGTGCGGGGCCCGGGGCGCTGCCGGGTGGTGGTGGTTCCCGAGGGCTGGCTTCTTATCCTGCAACCGAATGACAGCAGCATTCTTTTTTTAAAAAAATTTTTGAAATTTTAAATTTATTGTTATTAATTAATGGAGACGGGGTCTCACTCTGTCGCCCAGGCTGAGTGCAGTGGCGCGATCTGGACTTACTGCAGCCTCGACCTCCCGAGCTCAAGCGCTCCTCCCGCCTCAACCTCCCGAGTCGCATTCTTTATTCTCAAAACAGCCCCAGTGGACAAAACAGCCCTAGTGGACAGGACCATGCCATAGATATGTGAGTCTCTGTCTGCCCCCTGGGGCGCCCTGTCCCTCAGCCACTGAGACTCCTGGTTGTTCATGAGCTCGTCTTTGTTCTGGAATATGGCAATTATTCTAAATGGTCTTTAAAATTAAAAATAATCATTTTTCTAATTTTTTAATATTTTGGCTGGGTATGGTGGCTCATGCCTATAGTCTCAGCACTTTGGGAGGCCCAGGCAGGTGGATCACTTAAGTCCAGGAGTTCAAGACCAACCTGAACAATATGGTGAAACCCTGTCTCTTTTAAAAGTACAAAAATAAGCCTGGTATGGTGGCACACGCCCGTAGTCCCTGTTACTGGGGTGGCTAAGGCATAAGAATTGTTTGAACTTGGAAGGTAGAGGCTGCAATGAGCTGAGATCATGCCACTGCACTCCAGCCTGGACAACACAGTGAGAATATGTCTCTCTCTCTCTATATATATTTTTAGAGACGAAGTCTCGCTGTGTTGCCCAGGTTAGTCTCAAATTCCTAGCCTCAAGTGATCCTCCTGCCTCAACCTCCTGAGTAACTGGAATTACGGCCACCCCACCTGGCCCAAATGGCCTTTAACAGTATTTCCTATTGTCACAGTGGAACAGCATAAAAACGAATATAACTAACTTCATTTTTGTTTAAAGTGGCCTTTACCCATTCCTGCACATAGGCAAGGATATTTTAGAGCATTGAGATAAACATGCAAACTCAGTAATCACGTAGTTTAAAAAACTAACTCTGGGATTAAAGAAGTAAACAACTAACTATGTTTTGTTAAAGATTTATATGACCATTGTGACCTGACCAAGGACAGAGAAGTTCCCAACCTCTTTGGACCCTTGTTGGCACCCAGATGTCTGCAGTCTCTGGTCATCCCTTGATCTCAACTCTTTCCCCAACTCACTCCTCTTCCCCATATCCCACACCCATTAAAATCCTCCAGTTAGCCTGAAAAATTTAAGATTATACTTCAGAACACTAGTCCACCATCTTCATAGTGTTACTGGCTTTCCAAATAAACCAGCTTTTCCTCTCATCTTCCCTAATCTCTTGAGTCTGGCTTTTAAGTGGTGAGCAGCCAAACCTGGGTTCAGTTACCCTATGGTACTCATCTACCAAGTCTACTCTAAATGGAAGATCTGGCCGTGTTCAATGAGGTGTGTTGTATTTAGATCATACGAGTATCACCTCCTCGGAACCTGCCTTATCCAGGAGCTGCTGTGTGTCTCTAAAGGGGCTTTCATGGTGTATCTCCTGTGGGGTTGCCTCAGTCTATAAACCACCCTCGACTCATTCATTCCTTCAAACTGGAAGCCAAATGACTTCACTCTTTGGTTCCCAAGCCAAGCCACCAGAGTCCTCGGCATATAGGAAGGGATGCATTTTTTCTTGGTCTGAGTTGAGCTGGTTTTGAAGCTCGTGTCAGGAGTAAGCATCTGTAAAATTATCTTGCTCCTACTCCACACAACACACAGTAGAAACACACGGCAACTCCTGGGGGTTGAGGACTTCCCAAAACCTTCACACAGTCTCCTGGCTTAAATGTACTACTCTGATTAGGATGAAGGAGATGGAAGGGGAGAAGTGAATGGAAACAGTTTTCTCTTGGCTATAGCTTTGTGCAAACGTAGGCACAAAGGATATGTTTCCTGGCAAAGACCTTTTTGCCTGATCTTGGGGACAATGTCTCCTTGTGTTGGTGAGCTGAGAACACAGGTGCCTTTCGCCAGGACTGTGGGCTTTTAGGGAGGAGCCAATTGCAAGCTTGGCTCCAGCTTGGCCTCACAGCTTCAGGGAAGGCAGTGTGGTGGGCCAGAAATCAGAACAAGGCATCTGGTCTCTATAAGTTTACTTTTTCTTTATTTTATTTTAATTTTTATTTATTTATTTATTTTTTGAGACAGAGTCTCGTTCTGTCACCAAGGCTGGAGTGCAGTGGCAGGATCTCCCCTCACTGCAACCTCCACCTCCCGAGTTCAAGCAATCCTCATGCCTCAGCCTCCCGGTTAGCTGGAATTACAAGCGTGTGCCAACAGCCCCAGCTAATTTTCGTATTTTTTGTACAGACGGGGTTTCACCATATTGGCCACTCTGGTCTCCAACTCCTGGACTCAGGTGCTCTGCCTGCCCCGGCCTCCCAAAGTGTTGGAATTATAGGCATGAGCCACCATGTCTGGACAGTTTACCATTTCTCAACTGCATAAAAGTTGGCTGGTTCACTGGATATAAAATTAGCCCCATAGTCCTTATTATGACTTGTGTCTCAGGTTGTGATAAGATCAAATGAGATAAATATGTGAGTTCTGAAAAGTAATATCACCAGCATGTGCTATTGGTAGAAACTAGCACGCCAAATTTGGCTTAAGTCTAATAGATGCATAGCCCTTCCTCTGCCAATGTTGGAATAGATAATAATAATTTACATAATGAAACATCCCCAGGCAACTGGATTGAATCCGTTTTAGTGATAATTATCATTTCAATTTACAGTTTATCAGGGTTCCAGTTTATTTCGTTCTCTGCTTAGTAGCCTCTTACCATTGAAGATTAAATTTGGAATTTTTTTCTAATAAAGTGCCTTCTGATTTAGTTTCTGTTTTATTTAGTTTATTTACTTCGCATGATAAGCTATTTAACTGGTGATGTATTTTTTCTTTTTATTTAAATTTCTGAACAGGCAGCTTGGGAATTGGTGTTCACATATAGTTAAGTGATTTCTATTCTGGGATTCTTTTATTTCTTTCAGTATTTTTAAATGCTTTCCTTCAACTGGCATTATAGAAATAATGAAAATAATAATAGCTGAAAGCGCATTGCATGAGGAGATTGTCAGGCTTGAGAAGATAATGAGAACATTAAAGAAATACAACTTTTACAGGCCTGCAGTGGTTGTCAAAATTACAAGAAGTTCAATAAATACCAAGATTTAGTTGTTTTCATGACTGGCTGATGGACAAAATGAAGGGGCAAAAGAAGTGAAAAATTGCTAAAGTGAAGCACCCTGCCTGTCCTAGCTGGGTGACATGCTGTTGTCACAGTTATTTAAGGTTGTTTTGAATCACACAAGAGAAATATTCGACAGAATTTATACAGTCAGCTGAGAAGTTCTGAACTAAATTAGTAACTAAATCATAATTATTAGCTATGATTTTAAGGTAGATTTAAAGAAATCCTCATTGATCTATTTGGTTGAAAAAATTTTATGGAGAATGTTATACCAATTTGGCTATTATTTTACAATGTATTTTCTCCTCCGTCACCTGGGGATGTATGTAGGAAGGACACTAATGGGGAAAATAGAAAATGCACATTTTTAGCGAAACCCTTTTTTGTCTTTTTTCTTTTTTTTAAGACAGGGTCTTTATCTGTCACCCAGGCTGCAGTGTAGTGGTGCAACCAGAACTCAACTGCAGCCTTGAACTCCTGGGCTCAAGTGATCTTCCTGCCTCAGCATCCCAAGTAGTTGGGACTACAGGTGCTCACCACTGTGCCCAGCCCTATTTACAGTGTAACTCTTTCAACAGTCTTCTAATCTGATTTTGGGGGCCAGTTAACACTTCATATAGGGCTTCTGACTACTAGTTGCCCTATTTTACTCAAAAAAGACAAGTAAAATCCCAAGCGTTTAAAACTTGGATGTGCTACTATCAGAGAGGGCTAAAATCACTTGACTAAACCAAGAAAACCACTTTGGTCAAAGTAAACGTAGCTAATTAACTTCAGAATGTTAAGGAAATGCTTACATTTTTCCTAGGCAGTGTGATGATAGCTGGTTTTAACTTTTGATTCTAGCATATGTAACTTTAAGATTACAAATATCAAGCAATGAACTAAATTAAATTGTAGTAACTTCTCAGTTGTTGGAACTACATTTTCTATTTATTTATTTATTTGACTGGATCTTACTCTGTCACCCAGGCTGGATGCAGTGGCGTGATCACAGATCACTGCCGCCTTGATCTCCTGGGCTCAAGCCAGTCAAACACCTCAGCCCCCCCAGTAGCTGGGATTACAGGTGCATGCCACCACACCTGGCTAATTTTTTTTTTTTTTTTTTCTAGTAGAGACAAGCTCTCTCTATATTGCCCAGTCTGGTTTCAAACTGAAGCTCAAGCAATCCTCCTGCCTCAGCCTCCCAAAGTTCTGGGATTACAGGTGTGAGCTACTGCACCCGGCTTTTTAAAAGAGCAGTTATTGGAACAATGCGAATGGTTGAGAACATGGGCTTTGGAAACATGGGCTGACGGAATGTATGTCACCTGCTTGCTGGTTTTACCTTGGATGTTTCAGCATGTCGCTGGGCCTCTTGCAGAACAGCACTGACAGAATGTGCAGCCTGGGGCATCTGTCCATTGGGCTGGGCGGTGCCATTTATAGATCCTGAGAGGGAGGAAGCGAGAAAAGAAGAGTGAGCAAAGCATTTTCAACATTCTTGAAAGTTAATCTGAAAATACAAAGCAGTTTACATCTCTAAAGCAAAGAAAGATACTTGCTGGCTACTTCTTAAAAAAATAATAATAAAAACAAAGCAAAGAGAGCAATTCACAGGCATGGCATGGTACACAAAACCTTATGAAAAATCTGAGGTTCTGTGACAAAACTGTATATGATATTCAGCAAAAGGTTCAGGAAGGTGAGGGTGGTATTTGATAAAGCCCACCGAGGAGGGTCTGGATTAACTGGGATCCTGGAGAGTAACAATATGTTTTACTTTTAAAAACTTTTCAGTAATTGAAGAATAAACCTTGAAAACATGTTTTAAAAAATTCTTCTTGATTTTTAAAAAATGTATCTATCCAGTTTCATACCACACTGAATACAGAAACAACTCTTCAACATTGTCCTCAACAAAAAGTACACTGGACACAGAAACAATGGACAGAAATTTGGGCAAAATGTGCAGGTCCCTGAAATAATCTGGAATTAGATGTGAAATTTGGGCAAAATGTGCAGGTCCCTGAAATAATCTGGAATTAGATGATTTTTTTTTCCCCAAAAGTCCTGGTATGCTATTTTATTTTCGTGCCTTTTAATTTGTCCCTTTGACACGAAACTGACTCATGTTACTCTTCCAAATATGCTGTTCAGGACTGGGTGCAAGATGTCAAACACTACATAATCTCATTCTTCATGTGGATAGTTTTCTTGGGTACTAATGGAGAGCCTTGATTAATATAATATTTGTGCTCTGATAAGAAACATCCACATGCACACGTATGTTTATTGCAGCACTATTCACAATAGTAAAGACTTGGAATCAACCCAAATGTCCATCAGTGATGATTGATTAAGAAAATGTGGCACATATACACCATGGAATACTATGCAGCCATAAAAAGGATGAGATTTTGTGTCCTTTGTAGGGACATATATGCAGCTGAAACCATCATTCTTAGCAAACTATCACAAGAACAGAAAACTAAACACCGCATGTTCTCACTCATAGGTGGAACTGAACAATGAGATCACTTGACTGGAAGGGGAAACATCACACACCAGGGCCTATCATGGGAGGGGGAGGGGGGAGGATTGCATTGGGAGTTATACCTGATGTAAATGACGAGTTGATGGGTGCAGCACACCAACATGGCACAAGCATACATATGTAACAAACCTGCACGTTATGCACATGTACCCTACAACTTAAAGTATAATAATAATAAATAAATTAAAAAAACCCCCAAAAGTCCTGGTATGCTATTTTATTTTCGTGCCTTTTAATTTGTCCCTTTGACACGAAACTGACTCATGTTACCTTCAAATATGCTGTTCAGGACTGGGTGCAAGATGTCAAAACACTGGGACATAATCTCATTCTTCATGTGGACAGTTCTCTGGGCACTAATGGAGCCTTGGATTAATATAATATTTGTGCTCTGATAAGAAACATCTACCTACTAGCTCACCCTAAACAGGAGATCAGCACCTTATCCACAGAATATCATAAAATAAGTGGTCAAAACTTTCTTAAAAGTCACTTAAAATAGATACAGGGCTCCAGTCTGGGAGACAGAGCAAGACCTTACCTCCAAAAAAAAAAAAAAAAAAGCAAAGAAGAAAAAGAAAACAGGTCGGGTGTAGTGGTTCACGCCTGTAATCCCAGCACTTTGGGAGGCCGAGGTGGGTGGATCACGAGGTAAGGAGATCAAGACCATCCTGGCTAACACGGTGAAACCCTGCCCTGCCTCTACTAAAAATACAAAAAATTAGCCAGGCGTGGTGGTGGGCACCTGTAGTCCCAGCTACTCGGGAAGCTGAGGCAGGAGAATGGCGTGAACCCGGGAGGCAGAGCTTGCAGTGAGCTGAGATTGCGTCACTGCACTCCAGCCTGGGCGACAGTGCGAGACTCTGTCTCAAAAAAAATAAATAAATAAATAAAAGAAAAAGAAAAAGAAAACATATTCCGAAGCCGTCTACAAAGTTCTGTTTGTATAGATGTGTTGGATACGTTTTGAACAGGAGCACTGAGCTTTGAATATGTGTTGGAATTTCTCCTCCATTTAGTACCTGTAGATGGCTGAGCTGGTGCAGCTGCATTGACTGTCCCCAAGTTTGTCCACCGAGAGGCAAGTCCAGCCTTTGCCACTGCCCGCTGGTAGTTATCATAGAGAGTCTTCCCATACTGGGGAGAGAACACAAAGAAGGAAAGGAATCTATTTATCCCAAATTCTGCACTCAATTGCAATATAAACATAGAGAAGAAATAAATACTCCACGGCTACTCTGTTCACCACTTGTCTGAGTTGGTGTTTTTGGATATTTCCATTAAAATTTAACAAATACACATTCAATCATTTTCCAGATTGGCAGTCAGTTAATTTTTTCACCAACATATTAGAGAGAGCTTTGGCCACTCAGTTCTGATTACGTATGTCTTTATGTAACTCGATCATAGATTCCATCTTGCGTTTTTTTTTTTTTTTTGAGACCGAGTCTCGCACTGTAGCCCAGGCTGGAGTGCAGTGGGAGATCTCCTGCTCACTGCAAGCTCCGCCTCCCGGGTTCACGCCATTCTCCTGCCTCAGCCTCCCGAGTATCTGGGACTACAGGCGCCTGCCACCACGCCCGGCTAATTTTTGTATTTTTAGTAGAGACGGGGTTTCACCGTGTTAGCCAGGATGGTCTCGATCTCCTGACCTCGTAATCTGCCAGCCTCGGCCTCCCAAAGTGCTGGGATTATAGGTGTGAGCCACCACGCCCGGCCCCATCTTGCGTTTTTAATTGCACACTAAGCTTGCAATACTCGCCATGAGTAAATATCCGGTTACTGGAGAGGTTCGTGTTTCTATCGCTCTCCTCATTTAGAAAACCCACTGGCGAATACACTTGATAATGTCTGTGGCTGAACCCAAGGGTGGGCCAACTGTTTCACAGTACCAGGAAAGCTGCGCCCGGGTCACGAAGTGGGCTGGCAAATGCAAGACAGGGTGAAGTCCGAACGCTCTCTCACCTTGGCTATCCGTATTCCCATCACCCACTGGTTAAGGGTTCTTGCGTCATCACAGCAGAGATACTTGATATACTGGGACTCCTTCTGAATTTGGGGGTGCTAGAAAGAAGCAGTTTCGAGACAATGTATTCACTTGTTATGTATTAGGAAGTCAAAGCACCTGTCAGGAAATTTTTTAAAAATCTCTAAAAATATATGTGATTTATGTGGTAAAAATTACTGGTTGTAAAATTAGGAAGGTAACTTTTAAAAATGACTAAATTTTGAAAGGATTTGAGAAATTTGTTATATGTTGGGAGGCTGAGGCGAGCGGATCACTTGAGGTCAGGAGTTCGAGACCAGCCTGGCCAACATGGTGAAACCCCGCCTCTACTGAAAAAAAAAAAAAGAGAAAAAAATTCCTGCCGAGGCAGGGAAATTGCTTGAATTTGGGAGGTGGAGGTTGCAGTGAGCCAAGACTGCACCACTGCACTCCAGCCTGGGGTGACAGAGCAAGACTCTGCCCCCCCCGAAAAAAAAAAAGAAAAAGAAATTTGTTTTATGATTTATCACAAGCACATCTTTTAAAAATTTTTTTAAGAAACAGGGTGTGACTCTGTTGTCCTGGCTGGAGTGGCACAATCACAGTTCACTGCAAACTTTGAACTCCTGGGGTCAAGAGATCCTCACTCCTCAGCCTTCTGAGTAGCTAGGACTACAGGTACACACCACCATGTCCAGCTAATTGAAATTTGTTTTTCTTTTTTTAAATATTTTGTGGAATTGGAGTCTCACTATATTAGCCAAGCTGGTCTCCAACTCCTGGCCTCAAGCAATCCTCCTGCCTCAGCCTCCCAAAGTGTTGGGATTACAGGCATGAGCCACCATGCCTTGCTTATAAGAACTTCTTACTAATTATTATTACTATAATTTTCATTTATGCCTTTTTAACTTTTGGAAGGTTTTCACATCCATCATGTCTGTATCCCCATGAGAAGTCTGAGCTGCTTCTCCATTTGTCAGATAAGGGAACTTACCTGAAGTAATTCTTACGTCATAGAATTAAAGCCTATGAGAATTGTGGGTTTATAACTCCCAAAACCTGATTCTAGGGTTATTTCTGCTTCTAAAAATTCAGAGTTTTGTGATGACCTTTCCTTCTTAACTGCTATCTGCTGCCCAAGTAGGCCAGTGGCTTCCAGATGGACACCCTGGAGGACTATTTCTGTCTATTACACTTAGTGCCAGTGGCACTAAGCAGTGGTTCCGGTTGCTGAACAGGTCTTTTAGGAGCTCACAAAGATAACAAGGAAATGGGCAAGCGTGAAAGAGAAACACCTTGCATTCCTCTTAGTCCTCATTGCTTTTGTTGTTTCTGGTTTAATTTTTATTTTTTAAGACAGGTCTCACTCTGCCGCCCAGGCTACAGTGCCGTGGTGCCATCATGGCTCAGCCTCTAATTCCTGGGCTCACACAATCCTTCCACCTCAGCCTCCTCTGTAGCTGGGACCACAGACATGCATCCATGCTTGGCTCTTTTTCTTTTTTTTAAAGACACACTCTTGCTACGTTTCTCAGGCTGGTGCTGAAACCCTGGGCTCAAGTGATCCTCCCACCTTAGCCTCCCAAAGTGCTGGGATTACAGGCGTGAACCACCAAGCCCAGTTAGTTTCTGTTTCATGTGTCTGTCTCAGATAGACTGTGTCTTCCATGAGGGTGGGAACTACAGCTTTCTTACTCACTGCTGAAGACCCTCATTGCTTAGCACATGGCCAGCGCATGGCAGGTGTTCCAGTCCAGATGTCAGAATACTTGAAGAAAAGAAACAAGCACAACATTTCGTGTTGAGTTAGAAATCTTGCCGTCATCAGTCGAGGGGCCGGCAACCAAACATAGGTTCTAAGATATTAATATGTGCCATGTAAATTTTCATAGGTCATTATAAGGTTTATTATACTACATTTTATTATGTAGAAAAATAATTAACAACCACAAGCATCTTGTGTGTGTGTGGGGGGGGGTTGGGGGGGTATGGTACCACCTCTTTCTTTTTCGCCCTGTCCTCAGAGGATGTATTAATCCTGCTAGGATAATCCTCATTTGCTGGTGGGGCTGAAAGTGGAAAGGAAAGCCAAGAGAGCTGGAAGCATCTGTCTGCTCTTCAGTTGGCAGGAAAGGTGGAAAGCTGTCCAATTCCTCTCTTCGGGTATTGCACAGACCTCTCCACTTCTCTTTCGCTTTCCATCTTAAATCACTGACCTCCAAGGAAATGGCTATTCTCAAAGTTGATCTAAGCAAAGGGTCTCATGTCTTTAAACTTCAGTTGGAATCTGACCGGCAGTGTCTAGTCACTCTGCTGGACTTTCTAATGACTCAGCCTGCAAGAACCTGTGGGATTGTTACCTTTTACCTTTGTCCAGAAAAGATAACATGACCTTTATAGACTCCAAGAGCTTGACGAGAGTTTAGTAATTTTTGGTTTCACGAATGAGAAAACTAAGGTTCAGAAACGTTACTATACATTCCACCCTGTGACCCCCACTAGAACCTGGGGGTCTCCTGACTAACCACCTAGAATTTCTGTGTTTGTATTAAGCTATTACACCCAAATCTCAGACTTGGAAGAGATGACAGAAAAAATTCCTCTTTTTGGTTTTTTCAGGCAATTGAGGAAGGTCTACTCATATTTTTGTCTTTAAATATGTATTGCTTATGTAGCTCGCTCAGGCCTCAGAAATTGCATCACCATTGCTCGAAGAACGGTCAGTTCCTATTTGCTTGGGCATAGCAAACAGGAACACAGACATTCTCTCTACCAACGGTGACAACTTCACATCAGGCGCCTGAATGTTGCTGTAGTTTTGCAGTCTGGCCAGCAGATGACAGCAAACACTTTCGAATGGCTGCCGGGCATTTTATTGTTTTTGCGGTTCAACGCGTATTCCCTCATCCTGAATGCTAGATTTTAATTTTGCAAATGTTACTCCAATAATGATCCTCTTTGGAGGCCCTTAAAATTGGAAATATCTATCAACTCAGGCAATATGGCCCGATAGCCAAAAGGATTTGTTGTCTTAATTAACCTGAAAGACGTATTGATGAAAAATATACTAAAGCCAGCACTCACTGGCTGGAATGTAACAGCCCACAAATGCCGCCGGCATTGCCTTCAACGATAACACGTGCAAAGCCAACCCGATGCCCTTGTCTTTCAGCACCAGAAACACGGCTCTCTGGCCGACAAACAGCAGTTGTGTTCTGATTGTCATGTAAGAGAGGCAAGCATTGGTCTCTTCAGCAATTAAATGTTTACAATTGTTCTTAGAAAGCAACTATTCTGCCCCACCCCCCAGATATTTAAAAAGCTGACATTGCGACCTTCAAGTTAAGCTATTACTTTTTTTTTTTCGTAGATGTCATGTGAGAGCCAAGTTTCCAGAGCAGACTAAATCTCATCGTGTTCGCAACAAAACGCACAAAGCGACAATTATCCATTTAAGAAGCATCATAAACAATTTCTTAAATATGTTATTTATTGAAATAGAGTAAAACATAGTCATTCCCTTAAAGAAAATGACTTTTGAACATAAAACAGTCCCTTGATGATGGGGTGATGTATAGACGTTGCTACAGGTCAGGTCTCACCAAGTTCCTTCCTTACACTACATGTGTGCTGTGGATGTATACAGGAGGATTATATGACCTCTAAGTTCTCTAGCAATCCTCAGATTTTATGGTTCTAAGATGAGCTACCGAATGGGAACAAGCTCCTTTCTGGCTCCCTTGGTGATGTAGAAATCATTCAGGCTTGCAGACATCATAGAACAAGTCACTGAGCTTGTTCTCCACCGTGTCTTGAGATTTTGCCAAGGAGCTTATTGCCTAACCGAGCCTTTTGCTGAATAATCATTTGCAAAGAGGTTTCAGGAAAATGCTGGTGCAATATCACTGGCCAGGCTCTTTTGCAACTGATTTGATTGTTCCTGACCATAAAGAGAGAGAAGCTCTCTTGGGACATGAGAACAGCACACAGAGGTCAGGGCGATTGTGGAATGCCACTGCTTAAAGGGCTGTTACAGACCCTCTGAACTTAGGGAATGAGAAAACAGGGTGAGAGAGGCTAAGCAGTTTATCCAAGGCCAAAGGTAGTGAAAGAACCAAGGTCCTATTTTGTTCAACAAATATCTCTGGGCGCTAAGAAGTATGCTAATTCCCAGGTACATTAAGAGGAGTAAGAGAGGCAGGGGCCAGTGGCTCACACCTGTAATCCCAGCACTTTGAGAGGCCAAGGCAGGCAGATCACTCGAGGCCAGGAATTTGAGATCAGCCTGGGCAACATGGTGAAACCTTGTCTCTACAAAAAGTACAAAAATTAGCCGGGCGTGGTGGTGCACACCTGTAGTTCCAGCTACTGGAGAGGCTGAAGTGGGAGGATAGATGCAGCCAGGTGTTCGAGGCTGTGGTGAGCCATGATCATGCCACTGTGCTCCTGACTGGGCTGGAGAAGACCCTATCTCAAACAAACAAACAAACAAACAAAACAACAACAACAAAAAAAGGAATAAGAAACTCACGTGATAATTGGGCAATGCTCGCTGGAGGTGTTTTAGGGAGAGATGTAGGTAAACACATGATGTAATCAAATGTGTAATCAAATCACATATGTAATGTGATTATGAAATAGTATGGTCCATACTAAAAGTTTGAAAATGGGCCAAGTAAGGGTCTTTGGAAGAAGTGACAGAATGCTGTAATATACATGGAGAACATGGAGAAATTCTATATGGCAAAGGTCTGGAAACCATGGAATGAAGAAGCAGAAATTAAGCTGGAGAGGAATCTGAGTGAAGACCCTTGAGTCAAACTAGAATCTAGACATGATCCCCTGGGCAGTGGGGGGCACTGGAAGTTTTAAAACAGCACAGTGACACAGGAAGTCACTGGGCGCTATGAGGAAGATGGATCTTGAGTGAAGAATAAGATTGAATTGAGGGAGGGCTCAGTGGGAGACCTTGATGGGAAATAAAAGAACTTGCTCATAGATTAATGAGAAATGGGGAGAGGAAGAAAATCAAGCATGCTTTCTCTGTTTCTAGCTTGGTAGAGCAGGTGAATGTTAT